TGTTAATTGATTTTAATGATTTACATTCACAAAAACATTCATTTCCTATTATTTTAAGTGATGATGGTATAATAATTGATGTTAATGATGAACATCCACAAAAACACCCATCTCCTATTTTACTAATTGCTGTTGGTATATTAATTGATGTTAATGATGAACATCCACAAAAACAACCAGCTCCTATTTCACTAATAGATGATGGAACAGTAATTGACGTTAATGAATAACATCCATTAAAACAATTATCTCCTAATGTCTTAATTGATGATGGTACATTAATTGATTTTAATGATACACACATCTTAAAACAACGGCGCTCTAATTTACTAATTGACGTTGGTACATTAATTGATTTTAATGATGAACATCTTCTAAAACATTCTTCTCCTATTATTTTAACTGATGTTGATATGTCAATTGACGTTAATGATTTACAATCAATGAAACATTGTGCACCAAATGATGTTATTGTAGTTGGTATGTTAATTGATGTTAATGACACACACACACTAAAACAATTTTTTCTGAACTCGCTGATGTTTGTTGGTATAATAATTGATGTTAATGATTTACATCCACAAAAACATCCATCTCCTAATATCTTAACTGATAATGGTATAATAATTGATGTTAATGATGAACATCCACAAAAACATCCATATCCTAATTCACTAACACCTGTTGGAATATTAATTTTTGTTAACGATGAACATTTTTTAAAACAACCAACTTCTATTTTGCTGATTGTTGTTGGTATATTAATTGATGTTAATGATGAACATCCACAAAAACAATATTTTCCTATTTCACTAATAGATGATGGTATATTAATTGATGTTAATGATGAACATGCTATAAAACAACAGCGCTCTAATTTACTAATAGGTGATGGTATATTAATTGATTTTAATGATGAACATCTTCTAAAACATTCTTCTCCTATTATTTAACTGATGTTGGTATGTCAATGACGTTAATGATATACAACCAATGAAACATGTGCACCAAATGATGTTATTGTAGTTGGTATTTCAACTGACTTCATCCATTTAAACATTTGGAAATAATTATTAGGTAATGACCCAACTGAAGGTGAATTTATTTTTACTAGTCTTAATGATGTACATTCTTTGAAACAATCCTTTCCTCTTTCTTTAATTGATGTTGGTATAGTAATTGATGTCAATGATTTACACCAATAAAAACATTCTTTTCCTATAAAACTAACTGATGATGGTATATTCATTGATGTTAATGATGAACATTCTTTAAAACACTCTTCTCCTAATTCACTAATTGTTGTTGGAATATTAATTGATGTTAATGATGAACATCCACAAAAACAACCATTTACAAATATCTTAACTGATGATGGAATATTAATTGATGTTAATGATGAACATCTACAAAAACAGCAATCTCCTAATTTACTAATTGATGATGGAATATTAATTGATGTTAATGATGAACACCAACTAAAACACCAATCCACTATTTTATTAACAGATGATGGAATATTAATTGATTTTAATGATGTACATCCATAAAAACAATCATCTCCTATTTCACTAACAGACGATGGTATATTAATTGATTTTAATGATGAACAATATCTAAAACATCGATATCCTAATTTACTAACTGATGTTGGTATATTAATTGTTGTTAATGATGAACATTTATAAAAACAATAATCAGGTAATTCACTAATTGATGTAGGTATATTAACGGTCATTAATGATTTGCATTCATCAAAACAATTATTCTCTAATCTAGTAACATGTGTTGGAATATCAAAATCAACAAAATCATAACATTTTTGAAAACAATATTTTCCAATTACATTAAACTTTTCAGGTATATCAATTCC